CGAATGCCCCGGTCTGGCTCTGCGAATGCCCCGGTTTAGCTTTACTGGGGATGCTCTTGATTAACTCCACTGAGGATGCACTTACGCGTGCTGAGTTAAAAGACGATTCTAGATTTTCTGAATTCACTTGGGGAATCAAACCCGAAGTTGTCTGTAGTAGATGGAGGCAGTTTCATGCGCTGGCTAGGTCAGGGTGACCATTATGATGCTTTCAGCTGATTGTAGTAGTCTCGTGCAACATAATTGGCTTGAGCAACTTTGCAAGCACAAATTAGGAATGCCCCTGTCTGGAGGATCTCTGGGAAGATCTATGTTGAATAGAAGACCAGAACATTTGTTTCACAATACGATATGAATTGGCCCGCCCCAATGTCTCGAGCCACGAAATAAACTGCTCTTGATTACAACTTTCATGGAGAGATTTGTCGAATCTCGACGTAACTTCCCCAGGTTGAATGAATTCTGAATAGATTTCTCAATGTGATAGCCCCTGATTGATGGCAACTTGAAGATATTTATCGACGTGATAAGCTCTGATTGATCGAGCTCTGAGGGAATGCCCCAGATTTGGCTGAGCTTAGAGAGATCGATTCTTGACTTGACGACCCCAGATTAGAAGTTTAAAGGGAATTCCCCAGATTGATGGAATCTGCTAACTTTATCCCTGAATTGTACTCAGATTGTGAAGTACCAAGATGATTTCTCTTGACAGAATCACCGGTCAACATGCTACTGGATAAGCCATTCCTCTTGTGGCAGCTGATTCTTGCTTCAACAGGGTATTCAAGCCTCTCTTCTCTGAAAAGATTGAGCTCTTTACCGGTTATTCATTGTGTAAACTTACTTGATGTCAATCAGTTGTTTTGTATGCAGAAGAATGTTTATTATGAGAATGATAATTCTAATGCAACACATATGTAAGTCTTGAAGTTTGAAAAAACTTTGAATGAAATGACGTCACAACTCTGTTGTGAACGAGTCACTAGCTAGAGAGAAACATTTGCAAATTCCTTTTTTATGAAAGATAATGCAAGCATATGATACCAACACAGATATTCAACATACCTCTTAGGAGTCAGTTAAACGCTATCTCGTTGTAGCAAGCTTTCAAATTGACCCATGCTTCAGTTAGGACTTTGAAAGGGTTGTAACGTGGCCTGGTTCACGGTTTTAGAAAAAGAATTTAAGGCTCAAAATTATTTGGTGCCCACCCATTCTCCATGATATTCTCCATTCCTACGTTCAGTTGACCTGGTACAAGTATTCATCTCTCGAGAAGAGTTTGCGATGATTGAGGAACCACTGCAGTTTCTTGGACACAACAGTCACTAACTTCTGATTTTGGTGTCTGATCAGACGACTTTGTTCTTTGATGAGGATTTTCATTGGTAATCCTTTTCTCTCCTTTTAGGCTTTATTCAATTTCTTTCTTGCTTTCCCTAATTTTTGCCTGGACAAATTCTTTTGAATTTCGATTTGGAAGTCCAGCGGGATGCCCCAATTTTTGCCTAAGCGACTTGTTTTCAAGCTTCGACTTAGCGGGGATTTTTGTTTCTTTCTTATTCGTATTTTTCATTTTGAACAAGTCGTTGATCTTTGCGTTGTTTTTGATTTGTCGGAAGTGATCCTGACTGCCTGAGTCCTCAGTATCGTTAGTTGTTGACCTCCTGATGTGCGAGAGATACCCATTGGGATATAGTCAAATAGACACACGTTGTTGTTAGATGAGGGTTAGGTTTTGACTTTCCTCAAACTTTTGATGGATAACCATTGTTGTATCCTTGGATGCACACTCTTGATGAGTTCTGAATGCTTGATTAGATTAGCTGAACACTACCCGCCCCAGGGTTAAAACGAGGGTTTTTTCTGAACAGAAAAGAAACTCCTACTTCGAAGGTTCAGAGGAGTTGACGAGGGTCTATCTCCCTTATATCTCCGGTGTTTAGGGATTTGAAACAAGGCATGTACATCGTCAACATGGTCTTACTCAAAAGCGTACCAACCAAAGATTTTTGCGTTTTTAGATTATCGTCATCCTCCTTTGAATCTTTACCTAAGCATAAGACTAGGAAATTTGGCATCAATATGCAAGTAAAATATTTAAAGAGTGATAACGAATGGATGAGTAAAAATGAAAGGAACACTTCAAGACAAGCACACTTATTGCATTAAGATTTTCGTTCAAAAATAGACAAGTTTCTATATACAAGCAATGTTTAAGCAAACAAGAAAGAATGCAAATGAAAATGCAGTAAAGAAACCAATGATTGCCACTGTTGAGGAGACTTGACTCTGTATGGACTTGCTGATTCTGATGACTTTCTGTAGTCTTAAAGCTCGAGTGTGCGAGAGAATCCCCTTTCAGATCTGATGTGAGCATGACAATTTTTGAATTAATTCAGTCTTGGACTTGGTCTCTGGATGACATACCATCTGGCTTATCTGAGTATTTAATCAATTATCTTCCTTCTTGAAGAAGTTTCTGACTACGAGCCAAAGCTTGCATGTATATCACTCAGATTTATTCCATAACTGATCTCTGGTGACAGTAAGAATCAAGTTAAACCTTTGAAGAAAGCCCTAGGTCTGAATAAGAATCCCTAATCTTTGGGTACCTGCTATGAATGCATGAATATGCATGGGGTGCATGAATGAATGTCATGTCATGTTTTATCATTTCCAAGGAAATTGCGTGCTTTGATTTTGATTTTACGCAAGTAAGGGATGGAAGATTTTAGCACAAGACTTGCAAATATGATTCCTTGGAAATAACTGAACATGTATGTTAAGCATGTGGTTAGCCATGTTATGTATGCAAAGGCATGAGATCAAATCGGATCAAGATTCCATCATTTCTAGACATGATTGTTGCACTGTTCTGAACCATATAGTATTATCAGATCAAAGGTCCGACATAGCTTCTGCATATATAAGAACCAAGTGCCATGTGTATCTCCCATTGTACGGGGTCAAGGCTTCTGGAACATCGGATACTGTTGAGAATTTTCTGAATATGCTGGGAATACCAAGATTGAAGGCTTGAATGAACCTCCAAGTAAACAAGTCAGGAACTCAAAATAAATCTGAGAACTATACGGTCACCAACAGGATATAGCATCTGCATAAAGTCATAACAGAAATCCAGAACATAGCCATTAGAACCAATAGCCACTGTCTGAGCATAGTCACCATCTGAATATGAATAACCATCTGAACACAGTCACCATCTGTACCTGTAATAAAATTCCCTCCCCACTTATGGGTGAAGACTAGGTCAGGGTAAGGCAATGGTAACTCGAAAATCACGGATCCGCCTGAAAGTGCTATGGGCTTACCCACAGACGTGGGTGCCGATAGTAATTTATTTGAACCTCATACGAGCGTGGTATATGACATGACTGCACTAATCGGACCACTTCCTATAGCCGCCATGCCCCCACTCTATTCCTAGGTGTCCTAGTGCACTATGGCCTGGGTACTGGGCCTTTTACCTCAATAGTAACATCCCAACCCAAACAAGAAGCAAATCCAGTACAGCAGTAGTATATGGAAAACAGTAAAATGCAATGCATATGTATGCTCAAGAATGAGTGAATAAACTGAAAGCATGTAAAAATAAACACCCAAAGAAAAGAAAGCAAGAGCTAAGAGCGACTCCGGGATGGACCAGCATTTGGTCGACCTATTCCCCAGTGAAATCGCCAGCTGAAACAACCGGTTGAAAATCATCAAAACAATGAAGTCGCCATCGAACGTCTTTTATCCCACATGTAGAGAAAGGTAAACATCGAGAAAACCTGAGAAGGGAGAAGTCACGGTCTTGCGACCGAGAGATCGGATAAGGGAGTCTGTTACGTGAGGGGAAGGTATTAGCACCCCACACGCCCGTAGTACTCTACGGTATCCACTCTTGTTGTCTATCTTATGGGTGTGTTTAATCTATGCTTACTGTTTATTACTGCTAAGGGAAAATGCATGCAAAAGAAAGGAGAGAAGAATGTAGGGAAAATAAAATTGTGCTCGCTTGGGCCCTACCCCAATGCCTACATATCCGTTTTGAGGAATCAGAGCTACCGTAGTTCGGCTCATATGTTTTTGTTTGTTTGTGTTTTTTGTGGACGAAGTTAATTCCGCCTTCTGCCGTAGCTCGACCTTTGGAGACTTATGCGTTGGCACATAAGTAAATTAATCATGTCCTTACCTGAAAAAGGTTATTAAAGAAAGGTGCTCGAGCGCAAAAATGGTTTGAGTTGGTTTATATTTTGTTGCAGATAGCGACTAGTCGACCTCAAGGGATAAATATTAGCCATTTTTCTACTTAGCTATGAAAGGAGTTTTTGAGAATTGAACCACACCTAGGCTTAAGATGAAGAACAATAAGATCAAGAAGAGACCCGCTTATCATTTCTCATACTAAGCAAAAGCATGATTCTCATCAGTAGTTTTAAAGTGTTTTGAATTTTGAAAGAAAAAAGAAGTTTTTGTTTTAAATGCACATGCAAAAGGAAAAAAAAGTCATAGGGAGACTAGCCTATTTCTAAACCTAATTTTATCATGCGTTGTTAGACCTACAGTTAGAATTTGGAGGGGTTCTACCTAATGTTAGCACGCATATGGTTTGCGATAAAGTATGAAAACGAAGAACAAAATAGAGTTGTGACGATACCGAACGGAGGAGGTCCGTTGCCTCTTCGAAACTGCGCAAGCGATAAGAAAATCCTACCAAAGTTTCCTTGAACGAGTGATTGAAGAATTATCCCCGAGCATTCCTTATTGCAAGAGTTACATCGATATCCAAACAAAATCTCACCATGCACAGTTCCGCGAAGCATCTTCTTCGATGAACGCCATTTTCTTCTCTTCGTCGTCTTCTTTGCCTCAGGCTTCAGTCATCGCGGTTTAAGCTCATTCACAGTGGCTCCGATCAACACAAACCTCTTCTTCTCCGATTTAACATCGCACAGCATCGCCGCAATTATTCGGTTCCTCATCCATACGCGATGCACAAAATTATTCCTCCACCTTCTGTCGCTGTCATGCTCTCAACTGTACCTGTCTCCGTGGCAACATCACAACCACTACCTCCGCCTTACTTTGTCTCAATTCATCCAGAAACACATTGGTATGAAGAAAACGTGAAATCAAGACAGGGAAAGGAATGGCGCAATGTTTACCTACGAGGCGGAGTCTTGCCTCAGATTTTGTTTCAATCGATGTTGGATTGAAGATGAAAAGAAAACCAGAGAGGAGGTTCTTTTGCGCTAATCACAGGTATCGTATTTTCTTCTACTTTCTTCATATTCTTCTATTTTGGCGTTTTTTCGACTACGTATGGTACATGCTCACCGTGTGATAATAATGTATGTCAATTCTGTTATGTTCTTGTTGCACAGAGGAACTGAGAAATGAACTCAATAACGCATCAGAGAAGTTGAGGTGATTATGATGTGCAACAAAGTTCCAAGAATAACTTTGGATAAACGATGGGGATGATTAGATTCAATGATGATACTATGAAGAATTGTAATGTGAAGTTGTTGTTGTTGTTGCTATGATGTATCAGTGAAGATGATGAAAAGATGAAGAGTATGCAGGGTGCAGAGGTTCTAAGTTTGAAGGTTTTCTGGTGAGTTCTATGTGATCTTTTCTGTGAATAATTGTATCTGTGAGAGAGAATTTCTCAGTTTTTTGTTGGAGATTTTTCTCCTCTCTTCATGTTATATTCTGTTATATACTTTTTCTCTTTTTCCTGTTGAGAGTTTTTATCTCCTCGCTGTGGGCATTGGAAAGTGGGTTTTATAGTTGATTCTTATTCTGCTTTTTGTTATGATTTTCTTAGAATTAGTTGAGTTGGTTAGAGTTTGGTTAACAGTTAGGAGGTTGGTAGTTTCTGTTAGGAATTTTTTTTGGTTGTTTGACAGTTGGTTACGGTTATAGGAAGTTAGTTAGCAGTTAGTTTCAGTTGAGAGTTCTGTTAGAAATTGTTGTTAGTTTGTTACTAGTTCTGTTTGACAGTTAGTTAGAGTTAGGAAAAGGTTTTGTTGGAAATTCTGTTTGGGCTTTCTGTTATAGAAGTTAGTTATTCTGCTTGTATTCAGTTTGCTGAAAGTTTGTTCGAGATATATGCAGTCCTGTGAGCCCCTTTTTTTGTTATAGGTCTGTTTGGTTTAGGATAATGTGCAGGGTTGTTTGAGAACTTGTTTTTGATAGTTCTATCAGCAGTTGTTGAAATTCAGCTTGTAGGGGATGCATGTATGCACAATGACCTTTTGGTTGATGAATGTCAATTGTTCGTACATTTCCTGACTTCTTGGTTTGAACTAATGCAGGGCTATTAGCTAGTGCAAGGACTTATTTGGATATGGTGTCAATTTTTTTTGCGGATGCAAGGCTGTTTGAAAATGGTTAGGGAATGCAATTTTGTTTTGGCTTCTACTGGTGTATCTGGGTGGAAGACATGGAATACTTTAACAAGGTCAGCAAAATAAATATTTCCTTTCTGCTTATTTTTCCATCAGGTTCGATTGAATTACACAGTCTAAAAAAATTCTGTTAATGCTTCGACGTCACTGACAGAAAAAGTTGTATCTGCTGCAAGGGTAACTGGATTATGCGGCCCAGGAAATCGTCCATTTTTGCCTTAAAGTTGACACACCCCACTTTTATGAATTCCCCTTGATAAAACTGATCACAGGATTAAAGTAAGATTTAATACAATGCAATATGCGAAGCCCTTCCTACAATGAAAACCAAATTCTTCAACTGAAAGAAATTCTTGTAAGAGAAATGAGTCTTGGAAGAGAATGCACTATAGTTGTTGAATTGATAATAACTGTTTTCTTTTTGTTGTATAAATGTTCAGGATTGCTTTGGATTGAAACAAGAAGATAATGAAGATGGAAGCAAACTAAGGTTGCATTTTAAACACGACAAGGCCACACAGAAAGCGATGATGAGAATCAATATATGCATCTTTAAGTGTATTTCTCATTTTTGTAGTATGTTTTTGGATATTGTAAATGGTGTTGGATATTTGTAATGTATTTTGGAACTTGAATAAATGGAAGCTTTGATGAATTGTAACTTGAAAATTGGATGATGTAATTCATTTGTAACCTTGAACTTTCAAATTGATTTTGAACTTCCAAATTCCTTTCCCTTCAATATTCCCTTTAGACGCCTTTGTATGAATTCAAATAATCATGGCACGAATCTAAAATATTTGCAAGGTAATCAAAAGAGACTTGAATCTTCTTATCAAGATATACCCCCCTTGAATGATATTTGAATGAATGAATCTTCCTAGAAACCATATGAACGAATCTCTCACCCTTATCTTGAATCAATATCGAATCCGAGCATGATTAAAAGTTTTAACGAATCCAATTCAATAATCATCAGTAAGCCAAGTTACTTGTGATGTGAGGTAACAAGTATTCGAAAGAACGATGAAGTTTTGAACTCAATGGACTTACAACTTCATGCTATATACCACAACTTGCATTTTATAATCCAATCCACACTATATCTTTACTTCATGGACAACAACAATGTCTTGAGGGCGCCTCAAAGTATAGAAATAAACATAATATGAAGCCCAATGAACCTCAGTCAATAAATACTACAAATTCGAATATAGAAGATGTAACACCCTAATCAACTTGTGCTTGATGAATTCTTAATAGAGGATGACCTTGTAGCCTGATGAAGGAAAGATCCACAACATCCATGAACAAAAAACCCTAATTCCGCAATTTCACTGCCTTGAAAAATAACCAGAAGAATCAGGCTCTATTTGAACATATACACCTTAGCCAGTTGATAAAACCCTAATCCTGAAGGTTCTCGACCCCTTGCGAAGTTATGTTGTTAGCAAATGTATGCAATGTTAAATGACCTAATGGAAATATGTACATGAGAAAAGCGCGACAATGCATAAACCAGATAAAAGTAGAAGGGTAGGACAAATTTGGGGTATTACAGTAGCAACCTCCTCTTGTTCTTCTTCTCCTCTCAAAACCCTATTCCTCTTTCTCTTCTCTTTTTCCTTCTTTTTCTAATAACACTAACTCTCTTCTTCCCTAACTCTATTTCTATTATAATATATCATATTACTTAATAAATCTAAATGGGCCTAATTGACATCCCCCCCCTCCCCTATTACTTCACAACACCACAAATTAAGCCCAATCTCATATTTAAACTTAATATTAAAATAATACATCAACTTAATTCCACCAAATTAATCCCGATTATTTATCATGCCACTAAATAAAATAATTCCGAATTCGACGATAAAACGAATTAATATAAAATATTAAAAAATATTTAATTAAATAAATAATTAAATATTGGGGCGTTACATCACCTGAAAGTATTATCATCATACGCATCCGTGATGCTGACAATACCTCACTTGGACCTCAACTGATTGTGGCTTCATGATCGGATGGTGACAGAGCATACGCCTATTGTCCGTCATGACTCTCCCCTATATTCCTAGTGTTCCTAGTGGTATACAACTTTGGCCTGGGTATTGGGCCTTTTAACTCATAGTAACACCACCCACAATGGAAACAGAGCCAACACAACAATAGTATATGGAAAACAGTAAAATATAATGCATACATATGCTCAGGTAATCATACATTGATGAATAAACTGAAAGCATAAAAATAAACACCCAAAGAAGAGAAAACAAGATCTAGGAGCGACTCCGGGATGGACCAACATTTGGTCGATCTTTCCCTAGTAAAGTCGCTAGCTGAAACAACCGACTGAAAATTATCAAACAATGAAGTCGCCATTGAACGTCTTTCATCCCATATGAAGGGATATGTAAACATCGAGAAAACCTAAGAAGGGAGAAGTCACGGTCTTGTGATCGAGAGATCGGGCAAGGGAGTCTGTTACGCGAGGGGAAGGTATTAGTACCCCACATGCTCGTAGTACTCTACGGTATCCACTCTTATTATTCTAATCTTATGGGTGTGTTTAATATATGCTTACTGTTTACTACTGAGGAAGAATGCATGTAAAAGAAATGAGAAAATAATATAGGGAAAATTAATTTGTGCTCACTTAGGCCCTACCCAATGCCTACGTATCCTTTTTGAGGAATCAGAGTTACCGTAGTTCGGCTCACATGTTTTTGTTAGTTTTGTATTTTTTATGAACGACGTTAATTCCTCCTTCTTCCGCAGCTCAACCTTTGGAGACTCACGCGTTGGCACAAAAGTAAACTAACATGTCCTTATCTGAAAATGGTTCTGAGTTACGACCTTAAGGCAAGATGCCACGTTTGATTGGTTTGGGCTTTGTTACCTTGAAAATGGGTTTAAGCATGCTTAGCATGTTTTCTGGTTTTCCAAGAAAAACAAAGTTTTAGTTTTAATGCATATGCAAAAAGGGAAAACAACTAAGGGAGACTAGCCTAGTACTACCCCTAATATTATCATGCAATGATGGTCCTAATATTTGTATTAACATAAGGAAAACGTCTACCTAATGTTAGCATGCATGACTTTCCACTTAAGGTCTAACTTGCATTTGAAAGGAGCAAGAACATCCTAAGGGAACATGGTATAGAAAGCGAATAAGCAAGCAAGCTCGAAAGAGCACACACATAAAATGTTAAAGAAAAGAAGAGAAATGCTTTAGCTAAGGGGAGCGTATCACCCGAGACAAACAAGCGAGAGTGAAATATAAAAGAAGAGAAATGCTTTAGCTAAGGGGAGCGTATCACTCGAGCAAACAAGCGAGAATGAGATGAAAAATAAAAGTGTGATATCCAAAGCTACTGAACACCTAACCAAGATATAGAAGATCAAGGTAGGCGACAAAAGACGATATTAACAATCACGGAGTGTCAGTATCGGCCAATGCGAACTCCTGACAAAGTGTGGGGGTTTGATTGCAAGACCCTTTTCCACTTGACAACTCGATAACAAGAGTAGGCACAACTCCGAAGCGTCGTGGTGCATCACGAGCTAAGGATGAAACTGGCGAAATTGCAGGGGTTAATTACTAACCCTTTCCTGCTCGCCTCCTTTTGAGGAAATATCATCCGTAACATATGCGAGCACAAATGTAAGCACACCCGCAAAATACCTACAAAAAGGTATAGTTTTGAAAAAACCACACATAAGTAGCACACAATGGTAAACAACGCGGAATTCCCCTAAATGAGTCTTTAAATAAACCAAAGGGGTTCTTGACATGATCAGCAACGAAGATCCCCTTCATACATCTCTATCCTACTTCTCATGGCATCAGAAAGTAGTAAAGCCCTACTTCTCATGATCTCTGGAAAAGCGGTAAAGAAATGCGATAAAGTGAAGAAAAATATAAAAGCAGTCACAATGATACCTAACGGAGAAGGTCCGTTGCCTCTCCAAAACCACGCAAGCAATAAGAAAACTCTACCAAAATCCTCCTCCCACTTTGTTGATGAAGATTAGGCTCTTAACTTACTTTAAGACATCTTGAAATTCTTCAACAATTATTACCCGATCAATTAAAAATCAATCACAATGATTATACAAGGGACATAAAATCAAGGCAGCTAGGAGGTGCAAACTACAGACAGGAAGTATGCTGCAGCAAAAGCCAAAAGCTAGGCTCTAAGGCCCAGCAAATCTAGATCTACCAAGAGTTTATTTTGTTGATCAGATTTCAAGCATCCCAAAAATACATGGGCTTACAGCAATTAAAGAGAGCCCAGGGGGATCTGTTCGATCCGCCAACATCACACTCTCATAACTATTTTCAGCATTTAATACTTATTATATATTTCAATTCATAATTGTGTTAAAATAAATTGAAACAATAATTGAGAAAAAGGATAGAGTGACAGTCAGAATTCATGAACGATGACTTCCGTCTCTTCTCTGACGAGCTTCGTCCGCTCCGACTGGCCAACGCCTCCGTCTCAGCCTCACTTCTCCTCGTCTCCATTCAAATCCACTGTCTAATCTTCATATTCACGCGTAAAAATTTCTAAACCTAACAAGATCCCCAAACCCTAGAAACCCGAAGACAGAGATACCGACAGAAAATGGTGAATCCGACGAACAACTTCAGGTAATTCTCTTCTTCTCTTTTTATATTCGTGCTCCTCTTCTTCTTTGATTTTTGCTTTTGCGATTTATGAGTTTTCATCGCGTTGATGTGTGATTCTGATACGTGCGATTTGTTCTTATTCAGAGTGACGCGTGATGTTGCGTTGTTGAGCGTTGATGATGAAGCAGAAGATTGAAAAGGTATTGCAGATAAGCGAGGTTGGTGCAGTATTGATAAAGATAAAGTGTGAAGAGCTTCAATTCTTACAGAGAGATGATATAATTAAAGGTTGAAGTTGCATGGAGGTTGAAGAGAGATGAGAAGTTGCTGAGAATTTTCTAGTGAGTTTTTCTTTTCGAAACTCTTTCTTGAGTTTTATGTGTATTCTCCTGAAATCTGTGTTTTTTGGTGTTGTAAGGGAGGTTACGGATGCGATGATGATTCAAGCTGTGTTGAGAAATCATTCTTGCGGATTGTTGATGAAGAGATAGAGATTTAAGATGAATATGCCGAGAAGAATGATTTTATGGTGATGATTCTTGCGGGAATTGAAGAAAAATGATGAAGATTAAAGTAGGAAGCTGAGAAATTGAAGAGTCTCAACAAAAGTTTGTTACAGAATATTTTTTGGAGTTTCTCTATGGGGAGTTTCTCAGATCTTTTCTATGGCTTTTTATATTGTGAATGTGAATAATGATAAGTATGTGTATCAGTGAGAATAATGAATCTTTGAGATGTGAGTAAATCTTCCCTTCCTTTGCGTATAAAAATTCTATTATAGGTCTCCATAAGTTTGTTACAGATTGAATCAATCCTGGCCCTTGTATAGAAAAGTTGGTTAGGACTGTTAGAGATTGGTTGAAAATAGTTAGCCAATTTGTTAGAGTTAGTTAAATCTGTTATAACTCTGTTAGAGCTTTATTTATATTTTCCACGGTTTTTCATTAATCTTCTTCATACTATTTTTTATTTTCAATATTATCCTACGCATTAAGTCCAATTTTCACTGGTTTTTCTGATTAGCTAACTTCTTCTGTGAACAGAGCTGCAGCTTATTTTCAGTTTGAAATTGCTTTGTGTAACCGTTAACTGCTTGGTATATTTTCTGATTTTTATCAATGAAGGACACAGATTGGATTGCAACATAGTTAAGATATATATATATATATATATATATATATATATATATATATATATATATATATATATATATATATATATATATATATATATATATATATATATATATATATATATATATATATATATATATATATATATATATATATATATATATATATATATATATATATATATATATATATATATATATATATATATATATATATGCTTATTGTAAATGGAATGCAGGTTAAATTGATGGTTTGGCGAGAAGATCTGGAAGATTAATGTGCAACAAGTCTAAGCATGGCTTACGTTGATGTAATGACCATTAGGAGCATGAAGTTTAGACAGACTTTTGGCAAATAAGCATAAAGAATAGTTGGAAGACAAAGATAGAGTTTAATTTTAGAATTTAGGAATTTTGTTTGAATGTATTTTGTATGAATTGGTTAAAGTAACAATGGTGTATCTGGATTGACTTTGTAACGGAAATATGGTTTTTGAATGGTAGATTGAAATGGTTTTGGATTATTTTTAATGTGTGAATAGAATTATGATCGGGACTTGGAGCGCAATATGGTGAACTCGGATGAACAATTCTAAACCAATCTTCAATTAACAAAATCATTCAATTGGCGTCTGCTTTCCTCGTGAGCAATAAGTGTAAAAATGAACCCACAAAATTATCCTTTGAGTCATGATTCAATATTTCACAATTCAATCCATAAACCTTTGACTTGGTAGTTGATGACCTCACAAAGTACCATGTCTTCAAGAAATCTTAATTTCAATTCTCACATATAAGCTAACTTGCAATACAAGTAATCAAACAATTGAGAATAATAATACCCTTGATCACAACGAATTCACAACACCCTCCTTTTATCATGTCTTTCTATCCATCAAACATCCAGTGAAAATGTTGACAAGCCCGAGTATCATAGGATATAAACCCTAGATTCATGGTTATAAAGTGGAAAATCCTGAGACCTACTGTTGATATGGAAATAATAGCCTTGTAGCTTGAGGAGAAAGAAATCTCAATAACCACAGATCATAACCTTAATGCCTCTGTTTAATGCTTAAAGAAGGAATCGGCCTTTATTGGGTACGAACGCCTTAACCACTGTAAAACCCTAATATCGCACGACTTCACTGCCTTAAAAAATAACCAGAAGAATCAGACTTTATTGAACGTATACACCTCAGTCAGTTGTAAAACCTTAACTTGTACAACCATTGATCTTTTGAACCTCAGGGTAATTTTATTTAATAAAAATGTATGATGTGTTAGATGACCTAATAGAAGGTATGCAGATGAAATGAGAAGTGCAAAATGCATAAGCCAGAGATAAAAGTGAAAGGATAGGACAAATTTGGGGTATTACAGAGTATATATCGGATAATTCAAATTAAGTCATTTACTCAAAAAGTCATACAAATAACTAATTAGTAAAATGTATAACTAATTAATAAAATTTGGGTGTTACAACTCTCCCCCACTTAAAAGATTTTCGCCCTTAATAATTACCTCAAACGAACAAATCAGGATATGACTCTCTCATCTGACTCTTAAGCTCCCAAGTCATGTTTCCACCTGCTGGTTCTTTCCAAGCTACCTTCACCAAGGCAATATCCTTACCTCGAAGCTGCTTCAATTCCTGATCCTCTATCCGCATAGGTGATGTCTCCACAATCATGTTATCTCTTACATGCACCTCATCTACTTGGACCACATGAGACGAATTTACAATGTACCTCCTCAATTGAGGTACATGAAACACATCATGGAGATTGACAAGCGACGCTGACAAAACAATCTGATAGGCCACCTCTCCTATCTTCTACAAAATCTGATATTGACCAATAAAATGCGACATTAACTTACGCGACTTCAATGCTCGACCAACACCATTTATCAGAGTATATCGAAGAAACACGTGATCTCCTTCTTGAAATTCAAGTGTTTTCCTCCTCTTGTCATGATAACTCTTCTGACGACTATGAGAAATCTTCATCTTCTCCTGAATCATCTTAATTTTATCGGTAGTCTGCTGGACTATCTCAGGTCTAATCACAACACTCTCTCCCGAATCATACCAACACAATAGTGTCCTACATCTCCTACCATACAATGCTTCAACGGTGACATTCTGATACTCGAATAGAAATTGTTGTTGTAAGTAAACATAATTAAAGACAAGTAGTTATCCCAAACACCTTCTTTCCAATACACATGCTCTAAAAAAAATCCTCAAGTGACTGAATTGTCCTCTCAGTCTGACCATCTGTCTGCGGATGATAAGTAGAACTCAAACGAAACTTCATATCCAAACATTTTGCAAACTCCCCAAAATCTCGAAATGAATCTCAGATTCCTATCTGACACAATTCTAGACGGAATACCGTATAAACTGACAACCCTCTCCATATACAGCTTTGCTAACTTCTCCCATAAATAATCCATTATCATTCAAATAAAATGAGCAGACTTCTCCAATCTGTCTATAAAGGACGATATCCAATCCCTATGCATGCCATTTGACCCATTGTCTTACATTCCAAAAAGTTTCTTCAATATTAAGGGCGATATCCAATTTTACTTGAGCTTCTCTTTCCTTATCCGCTAGCAAATCAGAGTGACCAAGAGTGGAGATGTCATCGTGAATTTTGAGAAGCTCCTCCTCAACCAGCTTAACACTATCATGCACATTGTCAAAAGTACTTTCTACTAAGAATCTAAAGCTTTCTACTAAGAACATACATAGGACATCTTACCACAGAGGATTCCCACACTGATTCCACAACCCGAGAGGAATCTTCATGGAGAGTCCACATTTGTAAGAACTTGAATTGAGATTGAAACTTGGTGTCATTACATTGAAAATGAAGTAACAAAGGGTAATGGTCAGACCTAGCTTTAATCTATGAAATATTTTTTTAGTATGCCTTTTTCCTGATTTAATTTGGGATTCATTAGATTCAATTAATAAAGATGATTCACCTTATATTTTATTTCTTATATAACATATTTTTCCTATTTTGAGGTTTCATTTTAATACAAGTTATTAGAAAATAGTCATTAGTATATTTTAATTAATAAAAATGACATTTTTTAATTTATTCTTAAAAAAAGTTATATTATAATATTTTTTATTTTAAAATTTTATTTTTCTTCTATATAAGTACAAGGTCTGATCATGTGGAAATTAGTATGTTTCCTTTTCTTGACTTATATTCTTTTTTTTCCTCTCAAATAGTTTAATGGTGAAATGTCATTTCTTAATTTTATTTGAATTTATAAAATTCATTGAATAAATTTTTTTTTTATCATTCATTTTAAAATAATAAAATATAAAATAGTGAAAAAATATATGTTCTATACATCTTTTGAATGCTGTTTGGATGGATAGGATCAATGGTGTGAAGATCACCTTGACTATATCTTATGGTTGTTTTTCATATTTTTAGAAAAGAGAATAACTTACTAACTTAGGCTTTATGATTTCAAATTGGATTCATTTTTACTTGATACCTATATTTTTTAGGACATATTTTATAAAAAAATATGTTTGATTTGTCTTTCTTTTAATAATAATTAGAGAATATTTACTTTTAGAACCTGGTTTTGAACCATTCAATTTTGTTGAAAAACAACACAAATTCTTATAATTTTAATTTATTTATCAATATATTTTTCAATGAATAAAATAAAAAATTACCAAAAAAAGAAAAATAAGTATATGGAATCTGAAACAGGTAAACCATATATTGGGCTTTTTTCTTAACTTTAAAGCAAATAAAGTTTTTGTTATTTTTAAAATTGATTTTTATAAAAATATTTTTTAAAATATTAAAAGTTTTTTAAATATTTTTTTTAAAATTAATTTTGACATTTTATGACATAAACATATATTATTAAAAATTAAAACATAATTGAAATTATAAATTTTTTTAAAAACTTATATCTTAAAAATGATTTTTTAATTAAAAATTATGTAATGTGTTCTAGAGGCACTGGTGGCTAGTTT